ACTACTCACTACTCACTACTCACTACGCACTACGCACTACCCACTATTCACTACTCACTAATCACTACTCGCCACCCAATACTTACCACCCACTACTCACAACCCACTACCCATTACTCCCTACTCCCTAATCAGTACTCACTACTCGCTACTCGCTACTCACTACTCACTACTCACTATTCGCCACTCACTAATCACTTATCAATACACACTACTCACTACTCACTACTCACTACTCACTACTCCCCACTCCCTACCCCCTACTCCCTACTCGCCACTCACTACCCACTGACTACTCACTACCATACGACTACTCACACGCATCTAACTCAATACTCACAGGGGGAGGTCCGACCCCCCCCCCCCCTCTCAATGGATGAGGGGGGGGGGGGGAAGGGGGGGGGGGTCCGGTCCGGACCCCCCCCCCCCTTGAAGGGGGGGGGGGGGTCTGGACCCCCCCTCCCTTTAGTTTATTCAGTGCGATCCACTGGCGCACTTTCGTCATTAACATCATCATCAGCAGCAGCATCGTCACCACCACCACCACCATCATCAGCAGCAGCATCCTTACCATCATCAGCATCATCACCATCGTAATCATCACCACCCCCACCATCATCATCATCATCATCATCGTCATCATCATCATCATCATCATCAGCATCGTCATCGTCATCATCATCATCATCATCACTACCACTACCATCATCATCATCATCAGCATCAGTATCAGTATCATCATTATCATCCTTATCCTGCTGTCTCCTCCTCGCCCCACCCCCATCAGCCTCCTCTTCCGCCTCCTATGCATCGCCCTGCTCCCGTTGACGAATAATCCTCCTCCTCCTCCTCCTCCTCCTCCTCCTCCTCCTCCCCCTCCTCCTCCCCCTCCTCCTCCTCCTCCTCCTGGCATCTCGTCCTCCTCATTATCCTCTTCCTCCTGCTCGTCCTCCTCCTCCTCCTCCTCCTCCTCCCCCGCCTCCTCATCGTCCTCCTCCTCCTCTTCTTCTTATTATTCTTATTCTTCTTCGTCTTATTATTATTATTCTTCTTATTTCTTATTATTCTTCTCTTTCTTCTTCTTGTTATTATTTTTCTTATTATTCTTATTATTATTCTGATAATTCTTCGCATTGGTATTATTCTGTTTATTCTGAGTATTATTAGTATTAGTATTGTTGTTATTATTATTATTCTTATTAGTATTAGTATTAGTATTATGATTATGTGTCTTATTATTAGTACTATTATTAATACTAGTATGATTATGCTTCTTAGTACTAGTATTATTATTACTTTTCTTATCATTAATCTTCTTATGACTATAATCATTATTAGTAGCCTTCTTAGTATTAATATGACTAGCCTTATTATTCTCATTCGTATTAATATTATTCGTAGTATTCTTATTATTCGCATTCTTCGTCTTTTTATGGTTTATTATTAATACTATCCGTATCTTCATTTGTCTTCGTATTAGTCTTTTTCGTCTTCGTACTTTTCTTATTACTATTAGTATTACTCTTCTTGCTATAAGTATTAGAATTATGTTTCGTGTTCTTCTTAGTATTCGTATGATTCTTATTCGTCGTCTTCGTACTATTCTTCTTATTCTTCTTATAATTACTATTAGTATTCTTCTTCTTATTATTACTATTATTCGTATTCCTCTGATTATTAGTATTATTATTCTTATTCTTCTTATTAATAGTATTATTCTTCTTATTATTCTTATTATTCCTCTTCCTCCTCTTCCTCCTCCTCCGCCTCCGCCTCCTCATCCTCCTCCTCCTCCTCCTCCTCCTCCTCCTCCGCCTCCTCCGCCTCCTCCGCCTCCTCCTCCTCCTCCTCCCCTCTTCCTCCTTCTCCTCCCCTCTCCTCCTCCTCCTCTCCTCCTCCTCCCTCTCCTCCTCCTCCTCCTCCTCCTCCTCCTCCTCCTCCTCCTCCTCCTCTTCCTCCTCCCCCTCCTTCTCCTCCTCAGCACCGCACACCCCGAGGCGCCAGGGGCATTCCAAGAGAGACAGAGGAAATCACACAACCCAGAGGTTGGTCCGCCGCTGCCAGCCACCCAGCGCACGCTCCAAGTCCAGGACGAGGCACACCACCATGGAAGAATCGACAGCAGGAACCATGCACGATGTATGACTCATCTACACAACCTGTGAGGGAACGCAGCTAAGAACATACGACAATTCGCATGGCAGGAAGATGCAGAATGGCAGCGCAGCACGCGAGCAAGACTTCGTTCGCAGAGACACTACATTGCAAGGGCAACAAAATATCAGCCAAACTGCGACTTGAGAAGCAGCAAGAAATGTGTGGCGGGAAATGCACCAGCCAACTGTAACTTGAGAAACAGCAACATGTGAACAATCCAACCAAGCCTTCGTTCAGTGAGAACGGGATTACTGTTGCTCACAGGTTGTATCAGTGGGCGGTCCGATGCCATGGATGCCTGCGCCGCCAGCAGCGGCACCAACCGCAGGGCAGTCATCCCCCGCACGGGCCCGAACACTCCAGCCAGCAGCATGCCTGTGCCTCAATCCGCTCAGGCCGTTGGCTTTGAGGCGCACACGGCGGCGGACGAAGGGCTGCGCGATCGGCACAGGCGGCTGCACGGCGGCCCCTGCCTGCATGAGCTCCCGCGCAGGCAGGCCGACCCAGAGCAGGTACTGCTCAGATGCGGCGGCGGCAGCGGCTTCAGCCTCGAGGAGGCCACTGGGGTATGCGAACTCATCCGCGCCGCACGTCGACGCCACCCGTGTGTCGATGTTTGCCGCCTCGTTCGGCTCATCTGCTGCGTTGTTCTGCTCCCCTAGCCCGTTGTCCACATCCGCAAACGCCTGGTCATCGGCAGCAGCCTCCCGCAGCGGCTGCAGCGGCAGGACAGTCCTCCCCCGCAGGGGCCCTGGCGGCCCTGGCCTCCTCGAGCAGCTCGAGACAAAGGTCGAACCGCACGAGGCAACCCACTGGCGGCAGCATCTCCCAGCCTCCACCTGCGGGCAGGGCCTCGGGGCCGAGCGGGACGAACGGGTTAGCGTCGGCACGCAGGGTCGACTCCACGATCGGTGCTCCCAGCCGTCCTTGCCCGCGGCAGCCCCGCTGCACCTTATTTAGGTCCTGGAACGTGAATCCCTGCAACTGGGCCATGGGAACGTCGAACACATGCATGGCAACACTGCGCATGACGACTTCCATCCGCGAGTGCACCGCCGTATCTCCTCCTCCTCCTCCTCCTCCTCCTCCTCCTCCTCCTCCTCCTCCTCCTCCTCCTCCTCCTCCTCCTCCTCCTCCTCCTCCTCCTCCTCCTCCTCCTCCTCCTCCTCCTCCTCCTCCTCCTCCTCCTCCTCCTCCTCCTCCTCCTCCTCCTCCTCCTCACTCATCGTCCCTCCTCATCGTCCTCGTCCTCCTCTCCTCCTCCTCCTCCTCCTCCTCCTCCTCCTCCTCCGCCTCCTCCTCCTCCTCCTCCTCCTCCTCCTCCTCCTCCTCCTCCACTCAAAATTGTTCCGCGGACCCCTCCCGTGTCCATCCGGTGCAGATTTTCATCTCCAGATCGATGTTTGACGGTCCTCATGAGCCCATGAGGCCCCAAAGAAGCCCCCAGAAGCATCCAGTATGCCTTCAAGGAGGAAGAAGAATAAGAAGAAATACAAAAAAAAGGCGGAGGAAAAGGAGGAGCGGCGTCTTCGTCGTCGTCGTCCACTTTGACGCGAATCCGGAGCGCCCCGGATCGGCGGCACTGGCCGGAGGCCACTACATCAACCAAACGAAGCGGCCTGGTTTGCTTGAAGCTCTGCCACACTGCTCTTGAATTCTGCGCACGTAGCTGCCAGTGCTGCTCCGACCTCGCCGAAGCCCGCTGGCACCTGCGGGTCGGACATTCCCGCAGCAGACGCGCCCAGACGGGGTGCAAGCAGCAAGCATCACAGGCACAGGAGCGGGCCCCTTGAGCCAAAATGGCTACGGGCAGAGGAGGAGGAGGAGGAGGAGGAGGAGGCGGCAAGACCCGTCAACGATGTTGCATTAGAGCCTCCTTCCAAGTTCCCTCTTCATATGTCCCTACAACGATTTTTTTCCCTGAGGGAAGTGCCCCGTTGGAAGGCGACCGTCTGAAACCCTGAACTGTGACTTGGCACCACTCCTGGGCTTTCAACGCCGCGAATCAACGTTACTGCAGCGCCCTGACGATCCTAAACCGTGCCAGATCACCATCCCTGGGACTTCAACACCGCAATTGAACGTGTTTGTTGCGTCCTGGCAATCCGAAATCGTGCCAAATTACCATCTCTGGAACGTCAAACATTAGAGTCCTTGAGACTGCTGCAAAGTGTTAAGACGAACGTGCGCGGCGCTAACACGAGAGCTACATCTTGAATATGAACCAACCTCCATTCGTGACGCTGTTGCAAACTTTAAGACGAGTGTGCGCGGCGCTGAGGCGAGAGCCGCATTTTGAAAACGATCCGCCCTCCATACTTGAAACTCTTGCAAACTTTCAAGACGAAGGCACGCGGCGCTGAAGCGAGACCCGCGTTTTCAAAACGACCCAAGGAAAAGGGAAGGAGGAGGAGGAGGAGGAGGGCGAGGAGGAGGAGGATTACGAGGAGGAGGGCGAGGAGGAGTACCACCAACCAAAGAAGAGGAAGAGGAACAGTCAACCCGATCCATTCGAATGCCTTAGGCATCCATCCCAGAGAAGTACAGAAGAGGCGACGGCGACAGGGCAGCAGCGGCGGGCGGCGGTGGCGGTGCTGCGGGCGAGAGCGCGCATCGCAGCAGGGCCGCCGATCTCGGCGATCGGCGTGCAGACGTGCGGGGGGGAGGGCGAGGAGGAGGAGGAGGGCGAGGAGGACGAGAAGGGGGGCGAGGAGGAGGAAGAGGAGGACGAGGAGGACGAAGAGAAGGACGATGAGAAGGACGACGAGGGCCGGGAGGTGGACGACGACGAGAAGACGCACCACCACCACCCCTCACACACACACACACACAGGAGCTCCCGCCTCGCCCGAGTGCGCCAGCACGCTGCGGTCGTCGCGGGCCACGCTCTCCAGGCCAGAGGCGAGCCCCAGCAGCGCGCCCTGCGCGGCCTGAGCCTCGGCAGCCCGAGGCTTACGAGGAGGACCGAGGATGAAGAATTCAAAAATTCAACAATTCGACAGGCAGGATCGAGGATCGAAAAGTCGAGGACTGAGGATCGAAGGGCCAGGATTCAGGATCGACGATCGAAGGGAATTTCTCTGTATTCTAAGCCTCTGGAAGCCTGTTTCGGGCCCCAGTGACCCCAGGAGGGGTCTGGGAGGGGTCTGGAAGGGGTCCAGGGATCGATCTTGAGCGGACTTTGAGGAGACGCGAGGGGAGAGGAGGAAGATCGAAGAGTAAAGATCCAAAGTTTTGGACGTTCCCTGCCCTTTTCTGGGCCTGCCAGTGCCTCTGCCCAAAGGCCGCACACCATCCCCTTTCGCGTTTTGCATGGTTCGCCGATGGATCCGCCCTGTTCGCTGGTGGATGCGACCTGTTCGGCTATGAATGTGCTGCTGGCCAGTGCGGAGGCTTCCCACCTTGCCCTGTCGATGCTCAGCCGCACAGGACACGGTGAAGCAGAGCGGTCGGTGGGCATTGCATGTTGATGTGTGTATACATCTGTACACATATATGAACAAAGTGCTCATCTAAACCTCTTGCTCACGACAGCGGGTCCGGAAAACGCGACCTGGTGGCGAAGTGCTCCCCAGACGAGCGGCAGGTACGGCACGTCTTTGATACACTATTATGCCAGTCCACAGCTGAGATTATTCCATCGACGCGTGAAGGTAGAGAGCATGAGTCAGAAGGGGAGGCAGTGCAGAGAGAGGATGCTAACCAACGATGAGCAACACATCACACGCCTCACTCGGTGCAGTCTGCGACTACTGGCGAAAAGCGCACAATCCGAAATGAAATTTGCGGTTCAGAGCTCATTCATATTATCATAAAAATGCGTGCACGTATACATAAGCAAATCTAGTATTTGCATTATCCCGAGTGCCACATTGAAAATTTTGGGACATTTTGAAGAGCGTCGAAGGCCTGTCTTCGCCTCCTTCGCGCAACAACACCCGTTGCAATCAGACACTTCAGAGCAACAACACCCGTGGCAATCCAACACTGACGACGAGGACGATGCACAAACTGTGCCAAATTGAACCCCGCGAGCGTAAGCGCGGTCAGTAGCAGCTGGGTGCAACAATGGGAAACAGTCCTGCACGTGTGCTTCCTTTGTTGACGGTATACGAACGGTCGGGAACGCTAAGATGACCCAAAAGTGCTTCCAGGACGATGCAAGAGTGGCCCGTTTATATGATCTCCCAGACGAGTAATTAACCTGTCGATTTGGACCAGTGATCCGATCGCCGCCAGTGCATGTCCTGTTCTCTGGTGCGTGTGGGTTTGTTCGCCTGTAGACGTGCATTGAAGGAGAAGGACGTGTAGTGAGGGGAGAGATCAATGTGAGCTGAGAAGTGACACAGGAAAACAAGCATGAAGAGAGTGAGGAGAGAGGATGGGAGAGCGGGGGAGGAGGGGGACAGGGAGAAAGGACCAGAAACCCCTCTCATCACCCCGCTGCCCCCTCCACTGCACAAATACCCGACAAAACAACGCTCCGCCAGGAGATGCGCAGATGGCCCAAAATAAAGCACACAACCACAGGCGCACCAGATTGCGCGGCCAGAGCCCAGCGCGACCCTCAGAGTGCCGAACCGCGCCAAGTGACGAACAGCACTCGCGGAGTGCTGCCTGACGGGACAAGACCGGCATCAGAGGAGAAACATGGGACCACCGCCACCGAGAGCCCATCGGGGGTCAGGCCCCCCACCCATGGTTCTCGGTGGCGGTGGCTCGTGCTGGTCCTCCGCTGGCAGCCACCACGCTCCGAACCAGTCAGCGAGAGCCTGCCACTCGTGGGAGGTGCTGGCCACGGCAGCACGGGGCACGCAGAGGCCCCGGGCACGATCCACGGGCTCGTCGGCCGACGCGGACGCACAGGGGACTCGGCACGGAGCCACAGGGCACGGGAGCACGGAGCGCGAATGTGATGTGCCATTCTGGCGCTTTGTTCCTCGACCTCGGCCTCCGGTAGCCGTCTTCAGGCCTGGGGAGCGTCGGAGATGACTCTGGAAAGATGGGTGCCCCAGGGGAAGGGATCGAGACTTTGGGGGCCCGCAGATTTGTTCTGGGAGGTCTCGGCAATGACCAAGTAAACGTTTTCGATGTTCAACACAGCATCGCTAGAGCACGCACAACACTCAAACTGTCGCCGCTTTTAGGGACGCCGCGGTACCATCCCGAGAGCCATGCCCTAGATTGCATGCACGACCCCTGCATCACAATGGAGCGCCACTTCATCCAGAAAGACGCATGCACCCTACTCATCTGTACATCACCCTGCCACCCCTGTCCCCTGGCCCCGCCGCTGCGTGGCTGCCGGATCCCTCCTCGGAGGTCGCCTCGGCACAGGGACGCGGAACGCACACGCCTCAAGTAGCTAGACGAACATGTAAGACCTGCGCAACAACATCGTCTGGACACCCTCAACCTTATCGGGGCAAGCTTGGAGAAGACATCTCCGAGCCGAATAGACTGCCCGAAAGCGTGGTCGCACTGAAAGAAATCTCACTTCAAGGAACAGGATACAAGTTTGGACGCGCGAAGGTTCCGCGGATCCAATTCCTCTCTCGTGCGGTTCCGATTTGCCGCATGGCTAGAGCCGTGGATCCATCTGCTGTCGCAAAATAAATGCTCAGGCAACAGAACGGAACACGAATAGCTCAAACGGACTTGGATCCACGGAACCCTGAATCTTCATAGATATACTACGAATGCACAGCAAAGCGGCGATCGCCATCGACATCGTCGATCCACCGCAGCTTTCACGGAATACTTGCTACTCCAGGCTGGATGGCGGCGCGAGGTCGGCATCTGCGGCCCAAGCGGAAATCTCTTGGCATGTGGAAGGAGATTGGCGCTGAGGGGGTCAAGTCCGACGGGCTGCGCGCAACCACACTGCCAAGAGGCAAAAGGGGTCCTGAGCGAAACGGGTCGTGGACCCTGGGGCTTTCCCCAACATCTGCTTTTCAGCCCGAGTCGTTTCTTAGCACCCGGATCCGAAGACCCCTTTCCTCAGGCCATGGCGCAAAAAGTCCGGACTCCTTTCCTTCAGGGGGCGGCCATCTGTCTTCACGGTGACTGCGTCGATACAGTTCGGTCGCCAGGCCCTGGGCACCCACATTCCTGCAGCGCGCGATCCAGATTGCGGCCACGGTTCGGCAGAGTGGACCCGGGTGTCCAACAGAGCGCGCGGCCAGGCGGAGTCAGCCTCGAGGAAGCGCAACCCAAAAGAGGTATGCCGGCGGCACAGGAGTCCGAGGTAGCCACGTCCAGAAGAAGCTATTTCATAGTGCGGGAATGTCCTTGCAACGTACAAGTGGGGTAACGTGGCTGAGGATCAGAAAGGGACTTGGCATTGGACGGTGTGAGGCCAGGACGAAGTCCATGGCAGCTTCCAGCCCGCCGTCGTGAATTAGCTCTCCCTGTCCTGGCAGGGCAACCACATGTGAGCCCTACCCCTGAAGGTCTGATTTTCGAAGCACCGGCGGAACTTCAGAGGACGTCTGCAGCCGAATGAACTCATGCTATGGTGTCCCATACCCCAGCGGCGAGTGCACCTCTAGGGTTCGCAGGAGGTCCCCGACTGGCCCCTTCTCCCGATCGCCTCGCCACCCCGCAGCGCACTCGTCTGCCGCTGCGAGGGCCAGTCGTTCTGCCTGGTCGCCAGACCGAGTCCCGCCGTGACGACAAGAGCCCCCCCCCGTGGTGGCGTGAGAAAGCGGCTGTCCTTGCGACAGGAGCTCTCCCCTGGTGGCGAGAAAGAGCGGGCCTGCAGGGGCCGCACGTCCTGGTGGAAATGCCGCCCGATTGGGCGACGGCGGGGGCCCCCATCCATATCGCACTGATTGACGTGACCCCCCGAGCCCGCTATCCTCCTCCTCCTCCTCCTCCTCCTCCTCCTCCCTCCTCCTCCTCCTCCTCCTCCTCCTCCTCTCTCCTCCTCCTCCTCCTCCTCCTCCTCCTCCTCCCCCTCCGCCTCCGCCTCCGCCTCCGCCTCCGCCTCCGCCTCCGCCTCCTCCTCCTCCTCCTCCTCCTCCTCCTCCTCCTCTCCTCCTCTCCTCCTCCTCCTCCTCCTCCTCCTCCTCCTCCTCCTCCTCCTCCTCCTCCTCCTCCTCCTCCTCCTCCTCCTCCTCCTCCTCCTCCTCCTCCTTCCTCCGCCTCCTCCTCCCCCCCGCCTCCTACACCTCCTATACCTCCTACACTTCCTCCTCCTCCTCCTCCTCCTCCTCCTCCTCCTCCTCCTCCTCCTCCTCCTCCTCCTCCTCCTCCGCCTCCGCCTCCGCCTCCTCCTCCTCCTCCTCCTCCTCCTCCTCCTCCTCCTCCTCCTCCTCCTCCTCCCTTCCTCCCTCCCTCCCTCCCTCCCTCCCTCCCCCGCCCGCCCGCCCGCCTGCCCGCCCGCCGCCCGCCCGCCCGCCCGCCCGCCCGGCCGCCCGCCCTCCCGCCCGCCCTCCACCCTCCGCCCTCCCGCCCCTCTCGCCCTCCCGCCCTCCTGCCCTCCCTCCTTCCCTCCCTCCTTCCTCCTCCCTCCTCCCTCCTCCACTCTCTCTCCTCCCTCCTCCCTCCTCCCTCCCTCCTCCTCCCTCTCCTCCACTGAAAGAAAGGAGGCAAGCGGACAAGAAGCGAGCAAGGGAACGAGGCAAGCGGACAAGAAGCGAGAAGACGGGGGGGAGAACTGCCGTGCCCCGCAGCACCGCGCCGAAGGCCCGCGGCGGCGGGAATTACTGCCACCCCTACAAAATTATGCACCGCGCCCCCCGGCAAGCAGACGGGGACGAGGGACGACCAGACAGAGAGGACGGGGACGGGCGAGAGGAGCGAGAGAAGCCGCGGAGCCAGGAGAGACAGGAGAGCACGAGGAGGGAGGGACGAGGGACACAGGAGGAGGAGGGGAAGCAGGCACGCAGCGCAGAGAGCAGAGGGGGGGGGCGCGGGAGAGGAGCAGGCGGGCGGAGGAAAGAGGGGAAGGCGGGGTACGCCACGCACGGCCCTAGCGCCAGGGGCGCGGGAGGCCGGCCGCGCCGGCGAGCAGCTGCGCGGCTACCCCGTGCTGCAGGGCCGCGGCCAAGCTCTGGCGCAGGTCGGCCAATGCCTCCGCGCGCCGGAGGCCTCTGGGCGCCGCAGCCTTGGCCCAGCGGCGGAACTCCGAGCCCATCGCCCGCCCGTCTCGAGCGCAGCGGCCAGCAGTCCGCCTCCCGGGTAGCGCTGGTGTTTTGTTCGCTCCCGATCGGCGGCCGCTTGGCCGTCGCGCCGAGACCTGGCCGCTGCCAAGCCCGGGTCTGGCGTGGTGACCTCGACCACGCCCACGTCGATGGCGACTGGGCCGGAGCTGACGGGGTCGCGCGGCAACACCACGTCGAGGACTGCCCTCTCCATGGTGCCGTCTGCGCGCACGCGGTCCCATCTTGGGCACGCTTGCTCGGTGAGTGCCTCTTCCTCTCCCCACTCTCGTTTGCACCACGCTGCCAGCGCGTCGCGGCATCTGTTGTGCCTGCGACAGAAGCCCGGGCCCTTGTCGCAGCAGCAGGCGTGGCTCCCGTAGCGCTGGCGCGCCACCGATGCGCACGGGTGGTCCGTCCGGCGCGAGCGGTGTCGGCACGGCGCCCCGCCCTGCCCCGCTGGGTCCCCGCAGAGCAAGCGGCGGCGGTAGGCCACGCAAAACTCGTCGTCGGCCAGCGCGTGCTCGTCGCGGCGAGGCACTTGTAGCCACGCGCCCCCTTCCGCCCCCTGGCTGCGCAGAAGGCTCGCGCCCTCCGGGTCGAGCGCCTGCCCCAGCTGCCGGCGCTCCCGGGCCTGGGCCGACCGCGTCAGGTAGCGCTGGGAGGGCACTCCACCGGCACACCTGCTGGTGCCCGTGCGCTGGCGGGCCTGCGCAAGCACCGCGTGGAAGCCTGGGGCGGCGCGCTCGCTCTCGCCCAGGGGCCCAGCGTGGACAAGCCCTGCGCGGCGAGGACTGCCCGCCGCGTGGCTGACCAGGAACCCAGGGTGGCCGGGTCGGCGCGCTGCTCGGCAGAAGAGAAGCCGCCCCCTCCTTCTCTGACCGGCAAAAACAGCACAGCCCGCGACGCTGCAGACAGCTGCCCGCCGAGCCACTCGCCCACGAAATGGACGACCCAGTCGTCGTAAGGCCTCCACGTCTCGGGGGCTCCTGGTGGAGCCGTTCGCGAAGTTGCGCAGCAGCGCGAAAGCCTCGTGCATGGGAGCCCCGCCATGACTAGGGATTGGAGCCTCTCATTGAAACTTTTCAGGCGCGTCACAGCCCGAGGCGCCTCGTGAGCGGCACCCATCCCGGCGGTGACGTCGCGCCAGTCGTCGCCGTCCTCTTCCGTTACTCTGCGGTTCCTCATGACCGGCAGGGCACGGTCCAGGCAGGGTAGCGCCTGCACGGCCACGTGGCGCAGCTCGTCCGGCAGCTCGCCCGCGGCCGCCGGCACCCAGACCTTGGTCTTCCCAGCGTGAACCTCGAGGCCCGTGTTCGCGAGGAGTTCCGTCGTGAGCCGGAGGGCTGTGGAGGCGCACGCGCGGGGCACCCACAGGTAGACGTCATCCAGGAAGGCGACCGCCTTGGCCTCGACGTGCAACGCGCGCAACTGGGCGCTCATCTCGTGTAGGGGGCCCGCCAAGAAGATGCCCCACAGCGCCGGGGAAAGTGGGCAACCCACGTCCAGGCCCAGCCACTGCACGACCGTGGAGCTGGCCTCGCCCTCCCCAGCGACCGCGCGCACCCCTCCCCTGTCGTAGGTTGACCAGGCGAGCAACTCCAGGTCAGGGCACCGCGCGCGGAGGACCTGGAAAAAGCGCCTGCGGCGGAGGCGGCGGGAAGCTGACCGGACGTCCACGCTGATGAGAGCCCAGTCGGGGTGCGACTCTGCGTGGGCGGCGATCGTTTTCTGCAAGGCTTCGGCCCCGCCCGGCTCCAGGACGCCATACTGGTAGGGCCCGACAGCGCTGCGGATCTCCGCCTTCCGCGTGGCGCACACGGCCCGGCCGATCAGTCGGCGCGGGACCGCACCAGATGCCACCACTCTCGCGCCCGCGCCCCGCCAGGCGATGCCCAGCAAGCGCCCTGCAAACAGGAGGTCCTTCGCCTCGCTCGGCACGCTCCCGATGCACAGGTCCCCCAGCACCTGCGCGGTGCTCTCGCCGCTCATGCCCGCGTGGGCGAGAGGCAACTAGCGTTCAAAACGATCACCCAGCGGGCCCGAACCGGCCCCCCGCGGCACTCGCAACCAGTTCCCCATGAGGTGCGTGGACACGTCGGCTGCCAGGGAGCGCGCACGGTTGAGACGGGCCTCGGCGCCCCCCTCCCCGTCCGCCTCCTCCTCCCCCGCATCCATGTCCT